CCCCCCCCCGTAAGTCGTTAAATAGACCGCGTATAGCCATTTTACGGTGGAATAAGTCTTGTGCCCGGCAGGAAGGGGTATACCCAGGAACTACATTGTGTCGAGCAGGACAAGTGTTCCTTTTTGAAAAGAGCGCCATATGGCGTTTTCTTTTTGAAGTGCCATCAGCTAGGCTTTAAAGAGAATTCCGTGTTAACGGAAGAGGAAAAAATTTCATGTCGCATGTATCAAAAGGATAACACGGTAAAAATGATATCTTGTAATTCAATAGAAGATTGCTTGGAAATCAAGGGAAAATGTCTTGGATTCCAAGCAATCTGCTTGAAATAAAAGACACAATTTTTACCGTGAACATTGCCTCGGGGTCTAAATGGTGTGCAGCTGTGATACGCAATGCCCCATGTTTAGTTTTCACCCACGGTGGTCCACCGTGGTTTTCACAGTGCCCTCCTGCTCGTCGTTGTGCGGACAAATTAAAAGTCATAACGCTCATTTGTGATGTTTGTTTTTCAAAGGTCTGTTTTTAGAGTATAGAATGGTGGGCTGGGAGAGTGGAGAGCGGCCCGCATGAAATATCGCCTCCATTCGATTGGAAACATGCGCATACCACACCACAGGCACGCGACATCATTAACGATATGATTGTTTTTGTTTGTGGAGCGCAAACGCGAGCGAACTGATACTCATTGCAGGCAGAGCAAGGCGGGGCGGCGGGCGATGTTGGAAACAACGGCATCCAGTTGCAGTAGTCTGCGAGCTCATTAATAGCAAACGAACCTGCTCTGCTGCGCCACAGGAGCGAGAGCGATGTGGTGAGGTGTACACGGGAAGGGGAGAGGGAGATGCGCTTGGAGCGACACACCGGCCGCGACGAGAGCACCAAACTAACTTAAAACCAAAATGACGTCCACGTACTTGCACGAGGGAAAGGCACAACACTGGTTGAAACAAGTGTATTCACTTTGTGCAAACGTACTCTTTTAATGCGAATCAACTGAAACGTAGAACACAAAGTTTGTTCCATCATTGCCACGCCGAGTCCAAGCGCTGCCAGTCCGAGCTAGTCGCCATCGCACGGCGCAAACACGACCAGCTGCCATCAAGCCTTTGCCTTTGTGCGACTCCCGGCCAGCCTGGCCTGGCGCCATCAAAGTTTGGGTCGCACGCAGACATACTGTGAGGGGGAGGGAGGGGGAGAGGAGGAGATGGAGAGGGGAAGGAAGGAGGGAGAGGAGGAGGGAGAGGAGGAGGGAGAGGAGGAGGGAGAGGAGGAGGGAGAGGAGGAGGGAGAGGAGGAGGGAGAGATGGAGGGAGAGATGGAGGGAGAGGAGTGAGGGGAGGAGCGAGAGGGGGAGGAAAAGGAACGGAGAAGGGGAAAGAGGGAGGGGCGAAAGGGGAGATAGGGGATGGAGAGATGGGCGTTCTCTGAAAAACGCAAAATCTTTGGCGTTCAAAGACGCCAATATTTTGCGTTCAACGACGACAATACTTGGCGTTCTGAGAAGAAGAACGCCAAACAGTTGCGAAAGGGAGGGAGAGAAAGAGGGAGAGGGATGGGGAGAGAGAGAGAGAGAGAGAGAGAGAGAGACGTGCACGTGGCATGACGGAGCTTGGCGGGCACACGTGTGTTACCTGGAGGCCAGGCAGTCCGACGCCTGACGGCCGCGTGGTAGGGGGTGAGGTAGAGAGGGGGGAGGTGGAGAGGGAGAGGGAGGGGGAGGGAGGGAGAGGTGAGCGGAGAGATGTGACGTGTCAGTCGATAGCCCCTCTCCCCCTTTCCAAGAGGTTAGCCCGGCCGCGGTCACACCCCGCCACGCCGCACACCACTCCGCGCTCCACGCGCTCGCCCCCTCTAACTATAAGTACTCTGCAAATTATAACGAGATTACGGTTATAAATGTGAAACATAAAAGTCTTACATTGAAAGCGGCAAAAGTGTAAAAAAAAGGGGTGGCAAAGCTTCATATTGTTTCGCACAACGTTTTAGTGTTGCAGTTCCAAGACGTGTAAAACTTCTAAGTTTTGCAGATTAAGTAACTTCAATTGAAGTTACAAAGATCTGAAGAGTTTTTACACAGTGCAAACTGTCACCCTGTTGAGTACTGCTTGATTTGCGGGGTGTACAACACAACTAGCGGGGGGGGGGGCGTCCGTCCCGTGTGCAGCATCCCGCAGGGCACCGCTGACTACCCGCAGGGAGGCGGCGCGGGGGGGTACCATAAATCGCTTAGTCATGTCGGCGGCGGCCGCGCGGGACACCACCACACGGGCTGCGCCGGGCTGCGGTGCCGCGGCGCCAGCCGGGCCCCGATCGAACTTAAAGTTATTGAGGACCTCGCCAACACGACGCCACGCCAGAGGCTCCGCGCTGGCGACGAGCGTTCTCTTGTAGTTACATTCCTAGCAGTCGTGCTCCGCTGCTGCTGTGTACGGCCTTGGCGGCGGCAGCGTCGTGTGTGGCCGGGGCGGGG